TTAATGATTCCTCTCGCTGTTTCGTACATTTCTGAGAAAATAAGGCCTTTCAATATCCAAAACGAATCCCTGAAAGTACATGCTCAAGTTGACATGCAACTGTGTACTCTGTCTGATAAGTTATTAAGAGCACTGAAAATATAGCAAGTCAGGAGACTCACCAGTAATAGAATTCTCTGAACCGTCCACCAGGTATAATGAAAGGATGAGGTACATATAAAAGAGAATAGTGATCCTGATGTCTACGTACGTCATCGCGAACCTTCAAAGAAATACCTTCAGAAAATAACGAACACAATTGACTTTGGAAAATCAGTTTGAGGCGCCACAGAATGAGTCGGGCGCTACTTGCGGGGAGGGGGGGGGGCAGGCTACGAAGCTAGCCCGCGGCATCTCCGATCGTCTGCGTTCTTCTAAAGGTGAGCACAGGATAGGGAAAGGTACACTATCTAGGTGAAAAGCGCAGACGAGCAGCCTTTTCACCCACTAAACGACTCACAATTACTATCAGTGAAGTCCACGGGTGAATGGAGAACTGAAAAATATTCCCTGAAGCCCACGATCGTGGCGAATGGCCAGTGGGTCTCGTCGCTAGCGTGTCACGTATTTTTGATCTACTAAAGAAGTGCTCCCTCCATGCTTGCGGACAGGATTACCATGTTCAAAGAGGGTGGTTGTACATCAAGTGAACGCAAAACGTGCTTTCAAGCAACTTTCACGATAGTTTCGCCTTTCGAGATGCGAACGTTGGAACAGTCACAGGGAAAGTTGCTTAAGTAATGAAAACCGTTAAAGGTAATAAACTCTTAGGTTGAAATATAGGCATGAAATGACTCACCCGTCTGCAAAGATCTCTCCAAATTCGGTGTAAATGGAGCGCCCACCGTCGATGGTGGTAATCGTGTATGTTTAAAAAAGTCGAAGGGAAGTCAACCCAATCTCGAGGGAACCACTCCACGAGCTCAGATCCGGGAGGATTGAAATGGGAGTTCACAAACTCTCTGAGTACAGCAATGTCTTTCGTCTTATCGCCCAATTCGTCGAAGTTCCTCAACGTTGCGACTGAAAGTTCGTTGATTAATCCTTCTGGAAAACAAGGTAAATGAGAGAGAGAGTAATCAAAGGTAGATGATAGATAAGGAGAGATAGATAGATACGAGAGAGAAGAGAGAGAAGAAGAGAGAGAGATGTAATAATCAATCATTCACTCTGAAAAAGCCCAGCAAAAGTGCTAATTCATTCCATAACATCTTGAGAAAACCTCAGGTGGAAATCATGCCAGATCGCTGTACCCAAAATGATTCTGCTACCTTTTGAGTAAAACCAGAATTGAACTGTAAGATTTCTCATGCCGGCGAAGGCTCAGCTTCTCCAACAGCACATTTCGTGGAATTAGCACCTGTATCGCGTGGCCTTTCAAAATTGAGCATGGCGGCAATTTACAAAATGAAACACCCATAAATAGGCCCAACACATACAAGGACGATAAAGGGAGCGTGCCTTTTTCAATTTTCAGTCTGAAACTTAAGGAGTTTAGAGAGCAGCTGTCAAGTATTTACTTTGTTTGCCTTCAACTTCGCATGTGTGATCTCAATTTAAGTGTAAACTGCACCTCATCATGAAAAGGTACCCATTTCAACCGCCCAGGTGTTCGATACTGGTACATGGCAAGTCACCAAGAGTCTCGTGAAAACTTGCGTTTACCACCATTATAAGGTTCAGTGAGTTAGGTATTACTTTCCACCGTTTCAGGACTTAGTTTCGCGGGTCCTGGTCTTTACCGGGTGTGAGGGGGAGTATGCACGCCTGCCACTTTCTCCGGCAAAAGTGCATGAGAACGGGGCTGAAGAGTAGTGATGCCTGGGTGCCGTCTCCATTCTCCGCCCACGCTGCCGCACGGTCGGTCACGCACCTAGCCGTAGCCAAACCAGGGCAGACCTTTACTTGGGGATTTTGGTTGAGTCGGTACAAAGCCCCCCTCCCTTTCTTTTTAGAGGGTTGGTACGACCCTCCCCCTGGTTTCCTCATCATCGAGGTTGAGCGGAGGCGGGGACGTAATCAGCACGTGTGAAAGGGATAAAGCCGTGAGGGAAATACAATTCCCTTTCATTTTCCCCAACTTCCTACCTGTTTTTCCTTAATTTTGCGAAAATTTTCCTACTTTTCCCCAAAAATTCTGTTGCCGAGCGGTTGACTAGAAGGTAAATACGACCCCCCCCCTTTGGA